CGCGCTCTATATTTTCTTCTCTCGAATGACCGTCACGTCAAAAATAAAGTGTCGTTACTAACTTTTAGTAAAAAAAAAAAAGAAAAGAAGAAGAAGAAAATGAATACTAACTTCTGATTTACAAATTATTTTGTCAATTTCAAGATGAAAATCCTGAACAACTGAAAATCGACTTTTAATTATTATACAAAGAAAAAGGACTACTAACCTCTGACTTCCAAAGTTTAAAATGAAAATCCCAACTGAAGATCTACATCTAGTTATTAGTTTAAAAAAAATTTCCAAATTATTCTGCCAATTTCAAGATGAAAATCCTAACTAAAAATCTACTTTTAATTATCATATAAAAAAAGACTACTAACCTCTGACTTCTAAATTTTTAAATGAAAATCTCAACTGAAGATCTACTTCTTCTTATTAGTTTCAAAAATGTCTACTAACCTCTGATTTCCAAATTATTTTGCCAATTTCAAAATGAAAATCCTAACTGAAAATCTACTTTTAATTATTATGCAATAACGACTTCCAAAATGACTCTGACTTCCAAATTTTAAAATGAAAATCCCAACTGAAGATTTACTTCTTCTTATTAGTTTCAAAAATGACTGCTAACCTCTGATTTCCAAATTATTTTGCCAATTTCAAGATGAAAATAATTAAAAATTTACTTTACCTAACTAAAAATTTACTTTTAATTATTATACAAAAAAAAAAAGACTACTAACCTCTGACTTCCAAAGTTTAAAATGAAAATCCCAACTGAAGATCTACATCTAGTTATTAGTTTAAAAAATTTCCAAATTATTTTGCCAATTTCAAGATGAAAATCCTAACTAAAAATCTACTTTTAAATATTATACAAAAAAAAAAGACTACTAACCTCTGACTTCCAAAGTTTAAAATGAAAATCTTAATTGAAAATCTACTTCTAATTATTAGTAAAAAAAAAAAAAAAAAAAATGACTACTAATCTCTGATTTCTAAATTTTAAAATGAAAATCAACTTCTAATTGTTATTAGTAAGAAAAAAATAACCACTAGCCCCTGGTTTCCAAATTATTTTTCCCAAATTTAACATGAAAATCGCAATTGAAAAATCCATCTTTCAACAATCGTCTAGTATCTACTGGTACAAGCGAGAGTAAAATTGATTCCTCGTCGAGGCGCCGGTAAAATATTTCAATCAAATGTCCGTGAAACAAAAACCGCCCCTACATCTCTTCGAGAATCGTCACCTGTCAGCCTCACCCCGAACATCTACATCACCGTAACGTGACAACAACCGTTTCGGCAAGTAGGAAGAAACCTGTCACGACAGATTATCCGTTTGGCTCGCCGACGGGGAAAGAAAGGGTGCACACGGTTGATTCCGAATTGATAAGCAAGGGTTGAGGTTCGACGTGAGCGTGGAGGCGAGTTAAGGCAGCAGCGACGCGTAGAGCTGGGCGCACATATGGAAGGGAGCTGGATGAGTTTGCGATTAAACGCGATTATAATTAAGGATAATGGAGTTTCGGCGCGCGGCAGTTGCCGAGACCCCTCGCAGCTGGCGCCGCTTATATCGAGTTCCTGTCGTCAGCGAGCGTACACGGTCGAAATGCCTTTGGTCATCCAGTGTGCAGTTCCACGCCGTGTATATGCATGCACGTACAAAACGTGCATCCTTCCCGGCACCACGTGCACAAATCTACACACGTACACACGTGCATACGTGGTTTTTCCCGTGCGCGAAAATTTCAACGGTAGAAACGAACATTCCGCCCCTCCGTTTCCCGAGGGTGCAAAAGGATGTTTGGCCATTTCCAAACGACTTGTTTCAGCGATACGACGCCGAAAGAATAGGGAAAAAACGATCGGGTATATTGATTTTTTTTTTTTGGTTCGCCTCGCGGAACGTGATCTACCGTTAAAACTTTATGAACGCCTGACGTGCACGAAACAATTTTTAAACTTCGTAATATAAAATCCGAATATCGCGGCTCACGTTGGCAGAATTTGAAATTCGTTGTATTAAATTTTGTAGATGCGCGCTTCTTTTATAGTTTCGATACAGGTTTCTTAGATTTACGATAGTATCGATCATCCGAGTTCGAGTTATCCGTCTTGCGGATAAATTAAAATATTTACATCTTGTCGGTGAGCAAATATCCGGAGGGGAAAGCTCGCCGTTTCTGCGCAGAGGAAGAAGATTTCTTTTAGAAATAGTGTTATATTGAATTATATAGAATTGTAGTGTTTCGATACAATCTCACGTGGAAGTTGTTTAATTATTTTCAGAGAGAGAGTTCGCGGAATTTCTAGCCGGAAATGATTATTTTAATGAAGATAAACTGCAGCACTTTGTAATTTTTAACATTCCAAATGAAAACTGTTTCGTTGTTTCTTGCGAGTTCGTTGTCGGTTGCGGTGTTAATTGCACCATGGTGATTATCGCACGATTTAATAATGATAAAAACGAAAAAAAAAAAAAACAATATAGAGTTAATGTTAATACTAATCGCCGACAGTAGAAGAGGAAAGTGTACTTCTTTCAACACGTTTGTTAGCCCGAACTCCAATAAACCGTGAAAATCAGAACTAGTGAGATATTATATATTCCTAGAAGACTAAATAGATTCTCTCGAAACTAGCTGAAAATACGGATTCAAGGAACTCCGCAACTGAACTACACGTAACTAGCTCGAAATTCGACTCCTTTGGGATACGATAACTAACGATCCGGTATTGCAATAAACGCGATAATCAGCAACCGTCGATGATAAAGTAATAACGAAAGTAAAGTGAACGAAACGCAATCAATGCACGAGAATAACCGTAAACATTATATCCGCGGACGTACGCTCTGCAATCTCTCGTTGAATTAGAAACGAAATTGAGGAACTAATGAAAGGAACTCATTTGGGAGCCATCTTAAGCTCTGATGCACGGCCCGCGAACGACACTGTTAATAATAAATTAATTATTACAACGAACACATAACCCGTTGACATAAATCGTAATCCTCGAAAATGACGATCCTTTAATCCAATTTAAACCAGGTCGCCAGGTTCAAAGTGCTTGTTTAAATCAAATCGAACATTTCCTCGCTTGATACCGAACCGGGGGAAATTTTTAAATATTTTTAAAAAAATATTGTCTTTCATTCATAATTGTTTACAATTGTCTGATAAAAAATAGTAGTGTGCAATATTCATAAATAATAAAAACAACGTTTGTAGAAAGGTTTGTAATAACAAATAAATAAATAGATGATAATAATAATGAAAGTAATAAAAATAATAAAATTGATAATATTGCTCACCCACACCGCCACATTCTCCAGCAATTAAATCTGTAATGATTTGTAACGATTGTTTATGACGACTGGAAGATTACAACAGCAGTATGAAATGTAATAAAAATATTCGCAAGCAATAAAGTGTATAATCACAATGATAATAAAGTGTCGTACAACGAAAGATCGTGTAACAAAAAGAAACGTGACAGGAAGAAATAACTCGGTCGCAAACAGCAAGAGACCTCGCTCTCTTTAATTATTACACACTGTTATTCTCTTTCGCGTGTTATGTCGCCTCTTTTCGATTATATTTACCTTGTCCAATAATAAAGGAACACGTGTATCTACACATTCAATTCTGCGTCTCATAAGTTGCGCGAGGGTGACTCGGTTCGCTAATAAAGACCGTCACCCTCGGACAGTTTTTCTTCGCCGACAATGCAATTGGAATCGTCCCTCCGAGACCGGCCCAAATTTCTTTCTCAAATATATAGGGACGCGGGAGTAGTCTGTTAACGGTTCCCTAGGGAATGGTCCGTGCGATCCGCAGCCATAGTCGTTCCATACTCGTGCAGAATTCGAAAAGTTTCTTCCCCCAGTCCTGGTAAAACCGCCACGTAATTGAGATGAACGATTCACACGTTCCTCCTCAAGAGTAATTCCCTCGCACATTTTTATCTCGTACATGTTTTCATGTACCGGCAAAGTAATTTTGAGTAGGTTATGAGTAAGTATGAATTGTGCAAGTTATGATCCCTTGGTTCCTCTTCGTTTCTCCTGCGAAGGTTCTAAGAGAATCGGAGGAATCGCACGAATCACTTTTTGCGTTGAACTATAATCTCTTTGACGAAAGTTTCGAGAGAATGTTGTTGGAATATTTTCTTTTCCAAAGTGATACTCTTCGCTAGAGTGTTGAAAGTATCCTCTCCTTTTTTCGAATCGGCTCTTCTCTATTCTTCATGAATAATGTTTGGGTTGAAATCAAAATTCTGGTTAAAATGAATCACGATATGGAAATTCCAAAACGTTAATAACTTTATAATATCCTTTGTAATTGTGTAATAATTAACATCTTCTGTAGAAATTGAAACGTATCTTATATCGAATCGAAAATAAAAGATAGTTTTATGGCAAAGGTTCGTTTGTGATATGGTTGTTCATTGTTGATTAATGAACGAAATTTACAAGGAACCAGAGTGAAAGCAAACAGACGTACGATCGAGTCCGTGCACGTTAACACAGCGTTTCTTTCCACCAAGTTCCTAGTTCCGTGTACCGACGAAATTGGACGCGAGATTAACATCGTCTGTCTTGAGTCAACCTATTCGAACACACAGACAGAAACTAAAGTTTCGCCAGGAAATCCCTAAGTTATAGAGAGGAGCGCTACTGTGTTTCTCGCGTTAAATGCTATATCACCGCAATGGTCAAACTAATTTTGGCTTCAACAATAGACGAAGTCGGTGAACAGTTTTGTACGAAGGATTAAAACATCAAAAAAGTCCAAAGGATAAGGGAAAATATTCGACAAAAATTTATTTGAAATGTAAAGAATTTGTTTGCTATAAAAAATGACAATAGCTTAAACAAAATGATTCTATTGCAGAACGCTGAATCTTAGTTCTAACAACTCTGTTACAAACGGTTCGGTCAATTGTCGTTCTGGGAATTCATTGAGTGGCTTCTGTGATAAGTAAAGCGTATAACGATAGTGTAGTTGCGATGGATTAGTCTCGCATCAATAAACTGATATTTCAAACGCCAATCCAGCGAACGAAATGTCTAACTATTCAACTAAGTAACGATGTATGAGTAATTATATGAAATGTTGAAAGAGTTGCTCGTAATGTACAAAATTATTTAAGACAGAAGATCACGTGCAAGAATGTCGCTTGAATAGAAGCAACTTTATTGATCGTATCTCTATTTCTATGTACCATTTGCTTAAAAACATATGATTACATAACGAACAAGAGTTATTCGAAAACGAGTAAAATCTATAAGAATCTTCTAGTAATAAAAAAAGACGTACAAAGATGAGAAACCTAGTATAATCGATCCAATAAAGTAAATCTTTCAAAAAATCATATACGCAATTCGAACAGTTATGAAACATCTTATTCCTTTTTTAAGTTGACTTAGAACCGATAAAACATCGATTTAAAAGAATGGCTAGTGATAAACTGAATTATGATTCTGTCTTGAAGTACAAAAACAGATTAAATCTAATGACAATTACGAAGATCAGCTCATAACGTTCGTCATAGTTTGCTGATTAAACAGATCTGTTTGCACTGCATTCAGAAACATAGGCACGCTATGTTGTTGCTGCAGGTGCCGCTCCACCAATGTGCCAAGCGTGGCGGAGAACGCGGTCTCTAGAAGGTCCACTCCCTCCTCTCCAATTTTAAAAAATAAAAAGTCCTCTGGCGATTCGGCGTATTGACTAGACAATTTGTATCGACCCTCCTTCGTCCTGTCCACTCGCCAACCAAACAATTGGTAACAAGCTTGCCGGTATTCTTGCGACGATGCCTTGAAGGCATCCTTTAGGCGAGCTATTTTGATCTCGTGAGTCTGTTTGAGTTCCGCTATTTCTAGATGTAAAATAAAAATCCAGCTAAATATAAAACGAAATTACACCAAATGGCGCAAAATAGTCGAATTACAGTTGCAAAGTTAAAAAGAGCAAAGATTCATTTTGTTGACTGTTTTCATAAAAGATCTTCAACATTATTTATAAAAATAATATAAAATATTTGTATACAAAATAGCATAATAAAGCAATATAAAATATACAATAGAATAATTTTATAGTAATATTTTCTTCACTGAAAGTATAAATAAGACAAATATTATAAATGAAATGGAAAATGTATAATATAAATATATAGCGATGCTTTAATTATAGATTCATCTAAGCTACTAGAAAGATTTATCAATATACAAGTAATAGTTGGTTACCATAATTATAAATTATAATTTGTCTTTAAAACTTTTTAGAGTACTCTTCTTCTACTAGCCTAAGTATTTCAGAAAAATTCTTCCATACTATTTCTGTTATTTTAAATACGATTTCAGTTACTCATAATTGTCTTTCACGTTATACAGTATTTTCTACGTTTTACTATTATTTATTATTACTAGCCACTACTATTAATTGAGTGTCTAGTATACAGATATCTTTAATTGATGATTGATTTTTTTGTCTTTTAATAAAAATCATAATAATAATATATTAGGAAAAAATTACCTTGTGCTTGAAGAACGGATGTCGTCGCGTTGGCTCCACCTTGTGCTACTTTTGTCCTCAACTCCTCCACTTCACGTAACAACGCCATTTGTTTCTCCTCTGCTTGTTGCTCTGCGATAGCAGCAGGATTCATGGTAAAATGCAATATCCTTGCGTTGCAATTAAAGTCGCCCTTCAGTGCTCGATGTTCCAATTCGCCCTTCAATCGTTCGACTTCCTCCCTTAATTTATTGCATTCATCTGCTTGATTATGACTCTCGGCTGCTTGAAGATCACTTTCTAATTTGGCAACTAATTCTCTGCAATTATAAATGTATCATTATACTTCAGTCATTATATTAAAATGAAAAATTTGAAACGGAATGTGAAATTACCTATAAACATCTATCGTACGCTCCAATGTAGGAATTCTTTCGGTCATCGCATTGTTACTGTCTATCGTCATCTCCTTTTCATACAAGTCTAACTGTTGCCGATAACTATCCCTTTCTCTTGTAACGAGGATCATCTTCTTTTGTAACCTGCTCACTAATTTGTTCAATTGTTCCTTGGAAACGGTAACATCCATGGCCAATTTTTTGGCATCCTCGTAATTTTTTGACAATGTGTGCGATTCTCTCAACGCGGCGTCCAGTTTAGATCTAAGCTGTCCTTCTTCTGCTTTCAAAACCAATTCAGCTTGTTGCAAACGATTTAATTCACGTTTTAGAGCAATTGGTCCACCGGTAATTCCAATAGATTCATATTCGGCCAGAGACAGTGAAAGCTCCGTTTTTTTGGCCTCAAGTGAGGCAACCTGTTGCTCCAATTTTTCTGTATGCTCTAATCTATAAAGTTACAAGAGTATTTATATCATAAAAGTTTGTAAAAAACATCTTAAGAAAATTTGTAAAAAAACATCTTAAGAAAACATACCTTTTTGTTACACTGGCCATTTGTTCTTCTAAAAGTAATTTTCCTCGAACAGATTCCCTTAATGTAGCAATAGTTTCTTTCGCAGCAATGAGCTCTTTTTCAAATTCACTCGCTCTCGCTGCTCTCATAGTTAATAACTTTCCTTCCTCCCATAACGCTTTTTCTGATTCCAATCTTTCAATCTTTATTTTCATACTTTGAAGTTCTACATTTTGCAATTCTAGCTCCTGTTGCTTAGTTTGGTATTCCTTTAATTTTTCTTCCAGCTGTGTTATTCTTGTTTGAGCCGCATCCAATTTTAGTTGTGTTTCAGATACATCAGTAGAATTTTTTGTTGCTGGTGTACTCTCTTGTACAGGCGCATTTTTAATATTTTCCAACAGTTTTGAATTTTCGTTCATTAGCAACATAGTTTTCTGTTCCAAATTTGTTTTCACCTACGGACAATATACAATATACATTTTGCATATTAAGCAGCGATATTAAATTAATTATAGCGATAAATTTAATTAATTAAATAATTAATTTAATTAAATATATATAGACACTGTACCTGAAACAATTCTTTCTCTGCAGCAACCTGTGCCTCGCGTGCATCCTGAATTGTTCTACGTGAAATATCAAGACGTACTTCCAGTTGCTTAATCGTTTGCTTATCCTGTTCGACCTGCATCTCTAAAATACCTTTCTCCTTTTCAAAAACTTCTTCCATTTGTCTACGTATTTTGTGAAGCTGTTGTACAGCAGCTTCCTGATGAGATAATCTTGTTTTTAAGGACACGATCTAATAAAACATATATATTTCATTGATGCTATTACATTTTTAAACACTTATATAATGGTAATTGAATATATTACCTGTCCTTTTAATCTTCTCCATTCCCATGGACTAGTTGGAACAATTTCAACCTCAGCCTTATTTAAATTAGAATTATTAGAATCATCTAGCCTTGGTTTTTTAGGTGATGGACATTCATCAGCTTCGCTAAATGCCATTGGTGTATATGCAGTACCAGATAATCTTAGTGACACAGCACTGCTATTACTTCTACGATATGCTTCAGAACCTGATCTTAGATCTTTTATCATTTTGATAACACTCGTTGGATCTTTATCGTCCATTTCTGAAAGAATGATGATACAAAACTCTAATACATAGATTATGCTCATAAGTATATTAAAATATCTTGAATTACATTTATTACACATTTATTACACATATGCATTTTATAACAAAATCAATTAAATTTACCTTAATAAACTATTTGATTACAAATGAATTCAAATATCAATTTGTGTGTTGCTTAATTACAATTTGAAAGTATGTACTTTGAAATATACCATCTGTAAAAATATAATTTGTTATGCTGTGAGTATAATTAAAGTTTTGGAAGATTCCCAATAAACAACCCATTCTCCGATTTCAATTTGTGATGCATAATTCACAACAGTTTGTCTCATTGAGTAGATTAATTTTTCTCTTTGTTAGAAATTCTTAGTTTTTTTCTTTTTAAATTGAACTCTAATAAAAGTAAGATATAAATATCTAATCGAGATAATATTAGACACATGTTCAACAAGTGACTATTGTTATTTATGAGTGCAGAATACTGCTGACTAATGTATAGAAATTAACAAATGTTGAAAACATTTTTAGACAATAGCCGGCCGGCTATTGCCTAACCCAACATTGCAGTCTAACCTAAAATTGTGTAGCAGAACGTGTGGATGTAGTGTGAGGAAATTTCTCTCTTTGCTACTCCATAAACGATGTAATGTTCGAATTCGCGGTCAATTTAAAAGAAAACTGCACGAAATGAAAAGGAAAAGAAGTTAGTGTACATATGTACTTGTACGCACTTGACGACTCAAATGGCGTATCATTTGTCACGATCGATGAGCAGACCGTTTATTACAAATACACCAAAATTCTTACAACACTGGATATAATTACATTACTATATTTTTTCGTATTTAAATAAAATTATAAATTACAAATTTCAAGTATCATTACACACGATTTTCAGTGACGCGACAAGTATACAATGGTGGAAAGTCTGTAAGAGCGACATCTACAGACATCAAAATGAATATAGCTTAGCTGGTGTGTTCGTACATTTATTTAGTTACTATGATATAATTTTTATATTAATCAAAATTTATATAAATCTATCTACTTTTAATATATAAGAATAACGTTTAATTATTTAACGATCGTAGATGTTTTAGTCTTATATACTATCATATATGATTCTTATATAGTATTATACTAAATACTATAATACTAAAAACTACTAGATACTATAATGTTAAAAATTACCATAGGCGTGGTCACACTGGATCCAATTCACGGTTGATTAGTGAAGAAATTATAGTAATTTATCTTGAAATACGTAAATTTTATAAACGTGTACTAGAAACTAACCACTAAGAAGAGAAATTGTAGAAATAATTGCACTCTCGTATACAATTTAATTTTAAAACCCAATGAATTTTTTAAGTAAATTCGGCGAAATAAAGTCCAGTAACAAATCAGTTTTAACAAAATATTCAATAAAACTAATTAATAAATATTAATAAGATTACAAATAACCAAACTTGTTAAACATTAGCAGATGATCAAACCACTTGTACAATAGTGCGAAAAGTTCGCACATTCTGTTGGTCTCATTCGATAAATTAATTGTAAACTACGTTACGTTATAAAATGACATTAATTTGATTTTTGAGAATAAATAAAAAAATAATTTTAAATAATGTATACGATATATATCTTTATAAGTTTGTTAGTTAGTGTATCATCATCAGCTCGTGGGGTTAGTATATTTTCCAATTCGTTTTTTTTTTCTAATTTTTCATATTTTATCATATTTTAAATAATCACTAAAATTTTAGAGCGAACTCGATTACGATGGCTGGTTGCAATTGCGATTATGGCACGCATTTAACGACGAGTCAGAACCCATATTTGTAGAACGAGGTAACGTTACAGTATCAAGTGTTCGTAGTGGTGCCTCTGTTGTTGGACAAAATGGATTGTTACAGCCTCATATAAACCAGTTAAAAACTCTTGCCAAACATGATGGCAAGTACAGGCTCAAAGCAGTAGCTCGAACCTCTTTAGGAAATGAAATAACATTTTTAACTTCTCTGCCTGCGGTAATTTCATTTCTCTCATATACTTTTACACATATATATCTGTATTTTACTTTTAATGTTTTCTCTGTACATAGTGTTATCTTCTTGGTTCTGATCTTGAAGATGTTATAACAATTTGGCTTGATAGTGCAGCTGAACCAATAGCTGTTAGCATATCATCACCTGGCCCTTGTAGCACAGAGAATCCATTCACAAATATGTGGACGACCAATGTTGTTGTTAAATACCCCGATGGCGGGCCAGTTCCAGATACTGCTACATATATTCAAAAACTTGAACGTGAGAGAGAAGCAAGAGAAAGAGGAGAGGCGAAAGACAATAGATCTTTCCTTGCAAGATATGTAAGTTCCTTGTTTCAAACACAGTATTTTGTCAAGTGCAATTTATGTATTATTGTTTTCGAATTTCAGTGGATGTACATTGTTCCTGCATTGATTTTTGTTGTTCTATCATCTGCAACAAATCCAGAAGCTGGAGGAGCAGGAGGTAGTTCCCAAAGACAGTAACATAGAGTGTATGTGGTGCCTCCAAGAGTGCATGTGTGAAAATCGTTTATTTATAAACTTACAAATGTACTTTCGTAATTACAATTGTAAAAAATTTGATTGTATCTTTCTCTGAATAAATTCTATGATTTAATTAAATTCCTTCACTTATCTTTTATTTCATCATTGTAATAACGTCTGAAACAAAAATCTTTTGCAATGTAATGTATACTTTCATATACTATAATTACAATTCTATAGTATATGTATACAGTTTAATACACCAGATAAAGTTCATACAGGCAAGAAAAGATCAATAATCCACCACCCACTGGTCACAAGGCCACAAACTGTTACCATATTACATTGGAATATGTGTAACCATTGGAACTGGTCTTAAAATGGCAGCGTTTTCTCTAAATATTCAAAAACACATAGAGTCTGGCCTTGTAACTTCCGGCAAATTCGACGGTTCTCATGCTTGCCTAGTGGCTGCAACTTACGGTGGAAATATCTTGGTACACAGTCCTCATAGGCAACCACAAATAACCAGTCATGATCATGAACAACCCGATAGGAAATTATCTTGGAGCGGAGAACTCGCGGAACTTCATATAGGAACTGAGGTATAATTTCATAAGTAATTATAAAACACTGACAAAAATTAATTTTCAAGGTATCTAAGGCTAAAAATTAATCAATATTAGATTACAGCATTATGCACTGGTCGACTTAACGATGATGAGAGAGATATTCTTCTAATTGGAACCACATCTCATGTTTTGGCCTATAACATAGAAGATAATTCCGATATTTTTTACAAAGAGGTACTATAACTAGTAGAGTTTATTTTACGCACTTGTCTGAAATTTCAAAATGCAATGAAGCACACAATGGCTGATATGTGGATGGTATAAATGTGTGCTCAGATTCATCAGGTTCTTTAAAATATAAAAATATAAATTTGTATAAGAGTTTATCATTTATTAACAATGTCGAACATGTGAAATTCAAAAAAAAAAAAATTAAATTGTTTTGCAATTAGATGTCTGATAGTGCAAGATATATAATGATTGGCAAATTAAGTTGGCTTCCAAATCAAGTTGCAATCATCGGTGGCAATAGTTCCGTGACAATCTTAGACTCACAAGGTACAGAGATATTCTGGGCAGTAGTAGGAGGTACTGTAACTTCATTAGCCATCTTCGACTTCGATGGAGACGACGAAAACGAGGTAAATTATAATAAGAAATGATCACTTCGATTATAAGTCCTTCTTTAATACAAACACAGAAATATTTAGTTGATCACTGGGACAAAAGAATCTGAAATAAAGGTATACAAGAAAGACAATCTGCTCTGGGAGACTAAAGAAACAGCTTCAATCAGTACTCTAACTGGTCTGCCCAATAGAAGATTTGTTTATTCAGTAGGAAATGGCACTCTTGGTGTCTATGAAATGGCTCAAAGGCTATGGCGTGTCAAGGTCAGTTAAAGAACGTAAATAGCCAAAAGTGGAAACAATACACGAAGATTGAATTCGAATTTCGTAAAAATTCATACATTTTTCAGTCGAAGCATCGAGTAGTTGTTACGAGGAGTTTCGATTTGAATGGAGACGGTACACCGGAAGTCATAACTGGTTGGAACAATGGAAAGGTAGACGCGAGGTCATTTAATAATGGGGAAGTGATTTTTAAAATACAATTATCTGCCGGAATAGCAGGAATCGTGGAAGCTGATTACAGAAGAATCGGCAAATCTGATTTAATCGTAGTATCTTCTGCCGGAGAAGGTAGAATAGAATGTTTTGTTTTTTTTTTTTTTTTTCTAAATATATGAAATTAAATTAAATTAACGAGACGTTTTCTCGAGAGTTTCTATCTTTTATAATATATTTTAGTGCGTGGCTATGGTTCTGGTTCCACGATGGATACACCAGAACCTGGTGAAATAATACGTGATTTGTTAGCCAAAAAGCAAGTACTTCAAATGGAACTTAGGCAGAGAGGTGCGTCTGTGCCAAATATGTATCATGGAACGAAATTGGCAGTTAGCTTGATGACATCCAACGGTGCGGCTCGCGTTGCTCTCGCTTCTGGACCTGGACTTTTTGTAAGTCTAATTCAGTTTTCCTGTAAAACTCTGTATTTTTTTTTTTTTTTTTTTTTTATTTTTTAAAATACCCTTTAACGTATTATTCAAATTTAGATACATTGCGCGATAGTTTTCACTGAAGGAGTGTTTGAAGGTGAAACTCTGGTTGTCCATCCCAATAGACCCAAAGGGGAACTCGAAATAGAACTTCGCCCTCCGAAGAATGCTCCAGTCGATATGCATGTTAAAGTATGCGTTGGTCCAGCTGGTGCAGATCTGTTACAGGTACCATATATATATACAGACGAAGAACTTTTACAAAATATTTTATTCTATACAATATTTTAATATAAAATCTCGTTTCAATTTCTTTACTCCGTTTAAGGTATTCGAAATGACGCGTCAATTGCCACGATTTTGCATGTATCAAATCATCGCACGACCTGAGCAAATTGCAGAGGATTTCACAAGAAACAGTGTCACAGCTGAGGTATTAATATTAATTTCAATTGACTAACGGTCGAATATAAAAGTACATCGTACTATGCGTGGCATTTGTTCTCGATGAATTAGTTCACGGAAAGGCCTCAAAGAATCGTTCTATGGTTGAATCAAAATCTTGTCCTTCCGGAGGAATTCGAAGTTAAGGAAGACAAGCCGAACAACGGAGGCATTGAAATATGGCTTCGCGGAATGAGAGACAATAAGATTCATTGCTTCATGGCAAATTCAACGGGAAAAATAACTATTCAAACGGAAGATATTATATTTGCTGGCGATATTATTCAATCGTTATCGTTATACTTGGGCCTCAGAGAGCTTTCTTCCGAGGTTTCATTTCCGGTCGAAGAGAGGAAAATGTTGGACGCTCTGGAACGCGTCAAAGGTAGAAAATCTTTTAGATTTTATTATAACTGAATTATTGCGTCTTTAAATTTCCTATAAACGCAGTCCAATGACAATAGTAACGAGTTTATTATAGAGTTAAAGGAAATTGACATTAGGCTGCAAGCAGAGGCAGCTAATGAAACAACTTTGCTGAAAAATATTATAATTCGCTTGGAGGACGCGAGAATTCTCGAGAATATCGACGAGATGAGAAAGAGGCTGGTACAATTGAAAAATGTTAATGTCGACCTGATCAGGGAACACGAAATTAGAATGAAGAGTTACAAAGAACTCACGGCGAATTTGAAGCAACTGAATCTTGGGGTACAACATGCAGCTAGATTAAGAGGTAATATTATTTTACATTTCCCTTCTACTCGTTTCCTTCTCGCGTAAACTAAACCTAATTATTTAAAACTGTTACTATATTAGTTGGGAAAAGTGCCTCGAACACAGTAGCTCAGTGTAGAGCAGCGATTCAGGATGAAAATTCAAAGGCTCTCATGCTTGCAATAAGACATGGATGAATTTTAATGCTTAATACGTTTGTTTTCTTTATTGTTGGCTTTTATTGAAATGGAAATTCACATTAAACAGTGTATGGTACTTTTGTACAAACCTTATTCCGTTTGACTCTTTAACATCAACGTGACTTTACCGCGCAGCTTAAGCTCTAAACTCGCCTTCACGCTTAACGAAGCGTTCCTCGAACGGAGATGCTGAATCTCCTCTTGAGCGGAACAGGCGAAGGACGCCGGAGAACATCCAAGGTCCCATCGGTGGAAGCTCTCACCCTGAAGGAATTCATTTGTTGGCCAGAATTGCCCGGCAATTCCGTCAGTAGCTTGGAGATGTCAGTGAAAACGGCCATGACCTGTCGAATAAAAATAATCGAATCAATTCGCCGCTATCGTTAAATAACGCCGCGGGATTATCTAATTCAACCGCTATGACGATTATATTTGATATATTCTTCTCTCGTAAAGTACGTTTCAAAATTAATCTCTTTATCTCGTGCCAGTTTTTCGTTTGCTAACTCGTGCTTACACATTTGCCGTACACATAACGCGTTACGTCGCGTCTCCCTCTTCGTTTTTATTATCATTCGTCTATGCACCTTAGAGTTTATTTTATTTTATTTTTTTTTCTTTCAAACAGGTATGACGTTATCTTATGTATATCGCCGTGCCATTTGCACCTAATACACATAATTAATTGTGAAGCAAATTTTCAATTACGATACGCACATTTATGATAACGATAACGCCGGGACGATCGTTTCGAGATGGCGGCGGTATCGCCTGCTCGCTCCACGATACAGATTTTGTTTACCACTCGGCGATCACGCGTAAACGCCATGACCGGCTTCCCGGAGGAGTAAACAATCGTTTTAGAAAAATAAGGGGCTCGTGCGATCACGAGCCTAACGGCTTGATCGCAGGATCATCGATCGAAACAAAGGCGAAACGATCATCGATCGGCTCTTCCCTCGTTCTTAAAGCGGCGAGCAATAGAGCAGAATTTTAGCTGCTGAGATTTCCGATCGGCCGACACTTTCTTTCGCGATCGATGACGTGGCCGCTACGTCTCATGTCAGCCTCGTATCATCGACGAGACGAGACTTTACGAATATATTCAACTCGAGATATCAATCGGCCTGTCTGTCAAAGTTTTCGTGCCCGATAACGTGGTGTTGTGTCTGGCTCTGGTAAATTTCAGAAAATTTAAAAACGTGCGCTTCCTAGCTTTTGAAGAAGACGAAGAGACATTTTCGGAAGACTTTCTTTGAATCAACTCGCACGACACATACGTACGTACATATATCGGGTTGTGTACAGATACGGAATTTATTTGATTCGATGAATTCTTATATAGTGGAGTGTCTATAATATAACGTCGATTATTCGAGTTGATTCGTTTAGAAGAAAGAGACACAGCTTCTCTCTCTTTTTTTTTTTTTTTTATAAAAGCAATTTTTTTAGTTTACATTGGTTACCCCACAGATGCATATATCTGACGTAGATTATTACGTCGTTCACCGTAGCACGCAATGTCTTTTTTTAAGATCAGGTTATTGATGCACCATTGGCAATGAATCTATTATTATCCAGCTAACTACAGAGCACAAAGGCCAAGATAAAGGACACCCGGCGTGCAAACAATTATCCCCCGCGGTAAGTAGATAAAGAAATTGAAATGTCAGTGTTACCTGTTCGACGGATTCTCGGACGGATATTTCGTGAAATGCGTGGGCCTCGATCTCCTCGGCCCTTTGGCGACCCTCCGCCGTGGAAACCACCCTTTCGCCAGGAGTGTACGTTAAGTCTGCCTTATTCGCTATCAATATTACGATCGGGGGAACTTTTCTAGTTTTCCTCGCGTGCGATACCAAGAATCTTAAATAAATACACATATACACACACACACACACATACACACATTGGCTGAACATTGTCGTATACCGATCAATATTTCTTTCGATACAGGAGTGACAGGATTTTTCTCACCGAAGACGAGACGTTTCGTCGAAGCTGACACGATCGGATACAGAGTAAACGAGGACGATTGCGTCTGCCCATCGCAGCTTCAGTTCGGACGGCGGAGACAGAAATCCCGGGGGATCGGTTATCTCCCACGATGCATCCAGGAAACTGTCTACCTTGTAAATCCTCTCGATGGTACAATCGTACTCCCCTATGTATCGTCTCGTCACGAATCGCACTGCCATGGCTAACAGTTGACAATGTTAATGTTATCCTGTTGTCGTGTCGTGACGAACGAAACGAAATCGAGACTTTGTCCGAATTTCGTTGAGACATTCAGACGTTCAGAACGTTTAGGTTTTGGGGAAATTGGAAGCAACAGATATTTCGATTTAAAAAAAGCTTTCGGACTCTTAGGATCCTTACCAGTTTTACCGACACCTTGATGGCCCAGCAGGATCACTCTGATAATCTTCGGGTCCTTATTGGTGAGGCCAAGGTTCCAAGCTATCGGAGGGCTGATTCGTTTCTTTAACGACGCAGCTGGCGGACTGAATCTCTCCATGACTTGACTGCCACTGCATTCTCCCTGGGGTGTCTCATCGATTATGAACCTTCTCTTTCACCCGCTGGTATTCAGCAGTTGCGTTTATCACGCACGCATCCTTCACCCTTTCCTTCCATCGGCCTGTAAAATTCCGTTTCAATCCGATCGTAACTGCGAAAAATAGACTTTCCTTTTTTTTTTTTTTTCTTTTTAGTCTTCCAATTTTTTGGTAGATTTTCTATCTCACGTGATCTTTTCCCCTGTAGTCAATTGTTCAGAGTTGTCGATCAAGAATTTTTCTTGATCCTTTTCGTAAAACTTGGTCGTCGGATCTTGGTTTTCTTTTTTTTTCTTTTTAACTTGCTGCTGGATTTCGAGCAACACGACGACGTTTAAAATAGAAAGTTTATCAAATCATGGATACTTCGCTCGATAATCAATTATTTGAGTGATAAATGGGTCATCGTACGATCACGCGGGACACTGTATCAAGATTTTTATCGAGTATCGTTGCCGCTAGCGAGTGACGAGAATTAGAAAAAACTAAAAAAAATCTCGTTATCGTTTTGTCGATCGTTATTCCCTTCTGTGATCCCGGTCCATTATCCAGCGATGATCGAACGACGAATACAGGCGGTGGATCGCGAAAGCGGCACACACGTGAAAAATTCCCAGCGAACGCGCGTTCACGTGACTCTGTAGGACATCGAGGGAACGAAAGGTCGTTATACACGAACTTAATCAAGATCAGCGCGGTATCAGTGTGTCGCTGGGTCAAACAGCTCGATTTCGTAATATTTCGCGGCCTCCTGGAATGGAATAAAACCGGACATCGCGGCGGCTGCACCCGGTGGCCGCTCAGCTACAAACACGATCCTCCTCGCGACCTGGCACCGGCACGCGTCCGCAACAGTTATTATTACTTTTATATAAGAGACGCGCGGCCGACGGTTGGCCATTTATCGCGCTTTCGTTACGCCGTCCCGCATCGCGCGAACGATAGAACGAGCCGATAGAGCAAGCCTAACAGAATCTGGTGACTCACCCAGCGCGTGTGACTTCGGTTTCCCACCGTGTCGCGCGCGGTGTGGTTTTCGTAGTGCGATAGCGTTCGATGAAATATAGCGCACTAGATCGCCGATATTTATACTTTTTTTTATTTTTGCTTTCTTTCACGATCGTCGATACTCACAACCGGCCGACGTTTTCAATCGATCGAATCATACGAGACATCGTACGCAAGTATGAACGACGAAAAGTGGTCGCAGGTGATGGGTCGATCGTACGCGTGAATCCGCCGGTGAAACTGGCGAGTACATTTTTTTTCGGCGGTGGTGGCGCCGTCAGGGCAACGATAACCGACAGGGGCAACAAGTTACACGCGCGATAACCTCGTGGTAACTCGCGGATGAGGCCGCCATCGGGGAGCGGCACGCTTTCCTCCTGCACGGCCGACTTCGTGGCATTTATATTTAGATTATCAATGGCCGGGCCGGGATCCTCTACCAGGAAACACGGGACCGTTTAGAAGAATTCGACCGTTTAGGGATCCCTGGGACGTTGGTGTCCCTGATTACGCGCGATTATTTCGTTTTCACGCGACCACCAGTTCGTTTCCCCTCTCGTAAACTCTCGGTTTTCTGCCTGACTCTCTCTCTCGCGTACTTCGCCGTTGAATCAGCAGTTAAGTCAGCGAATTTAGGCGCGTCAATTATCATCGAACAACAAACACGGAAATTCCGTTTGCAGGAAAGCGGAAAAACGACGAAAGATTCGCGTGCCTCGCACGATTGTACGAAGAAGAAGAAGAAAAAAGAAAAGGAAAAAAAGAAAAAGGAACGGTGGAAAACAGATATCTCAGTCCTATTTTTAGACGAAGATTACGTTCTGCTGCACCGATTCCAATAGAAAACAAGTTATTTATTTTCAAGATTGAGCAATCCCGATCGATATTTTTAGTATAACGAGCCGTTAGATATCGTGTCGTTTTATCATCTAGGGGGCTAGAGGAGGCCTCCTAATTATGATCTACGAAGTCGCCCAAGTCAGCGTTTCGTACCTCGTTCGTTTCCCTCGTTTCTTCACCGAATTCCATTGGCTTATCTAAAAATATTCCATATATATGACCTTTTTTAAGTGAACCATTCGAGTCCCGTGCCGTTGCAGCCGTGTCTCTCGTTCTCTTGCAACAAGTATAGAACCATAACGATGCATGCATACGTGTGTAAACGTACGTGTGCAACGCAGAATCGGAGTGGCGCGCCATTTCTCGATTTGTTTTCACTAGACGTTTTCAAATCGTGTTGTTTCATCTCGCCGAGAGTTGCCTGAATCATGTTTCACATCATTCAGAGGGACGCCTCGTAAGATATAGCTGTCGTAATATATATATATATTCGTACACGAGTACTTATGGCTAAATGGTCCCGGTTCAGTTGCCTTCGTGTGTATGTGTGTATCCTCTTCATGATATATTTCCCTCGAGTTATCAATTATCTCCGAGTCGTTTTTCCCGAGTTTTACAAAAAAAAAAAATACCACATTGTATGTATACATATATACAATATATATATATGTCTGCTTGAAACAAGACATTCTGACTACTTTCGACAACGGCGACGTGACGCGACGCGACGCGACGCGACGGTTGCTGACAGCTGCTTATCAAAGTGCCACTGACAGTGATTCACTGCGCACGAACCGTTTAATACGCGATCGTACGATAAGATTAACCTTATCTGTCCATGCTATCTGCGTCAACTTGCCGATCGCATTTCTGTCTTAATCGTCATAATCAAAGGATACTACGAAAAGGGACGAGACACTCGAGTCCTGATGTGGAAGAGAAACGGTTCACACGGCGCCGCGGATCACACCACGTATCACGAAATTTATTTCCACGATAGCGTACCCGAAATATACATTTGTTGACAGCTCTGTGATTTATCTAAGAGCTCGAAGAAGAAGAAAAAGAAAAAGAAGAAGAAGAAGAAGAAGAAGAAGAAAAAAGAGGAAAAGAAGAGAAAGAAACCAGATAAGATTGGTAATTGAAAAAATTGAAAAAGGCGCCCCCGTAATCTCGTTGGATGATAGCGTTTGTTCAAACGTTTCGACTTTGATGGACGTTTTACGTTGTCCGTTTTTATCAAACACGCCTGCTCCTTTTTCACCCCTTTTCTCTCGCTCAACTACCTTTTCTTCGAACGATGTTTCGAATGACGCGAGATGAAACGTGAGTTTCGGGGAAACGACTGATCTTACGATGTGATTTTCATTTAATCACCGTGCTGTTTAATAAACGCGCGTTTCGCCAGGGAAAGGGTTACGTATCTGCTTTGCGTAACGCTTCAAAAAACGATCGTGAAGTGTAAATTTACGGGCCCGTGAATTCGAACAGATCGAAAGACAAGAATAAACGTTCACGCAGAACTTATATTTATATTTTATTATTAACTTGTATTTAATATTAATATTTAATTTATATTTAATATATAAAAATATTAATATTTAATTTATGTTTAATATATAAAAATATTAATATTTAATTTATGTTTATTATATAAAAATATTAACATTTAATTTATATTTAATATATAAAAATATTAACATTTAATTTATATTTATTATATAAAAATATTAACATTTAATTTATGTTTAATATATAAAAATATTAATATTTAATTTATGTTTAATATATAAAAATATTAACATTTAATTTATGTTTAATATATAAAAATATTAACATTTAATTTATGTTTAATATATAAAAATATTAACATTTAATTTATGTTTAATATATAAAAATATTAACATTTAATTTATGTTTAATATATAAAAATATTAACATTTAATTTATGTTTATTATATAAAAATATTAACATTTAATTTATGTTTAATATATAAAAATATTAACATTTAATTTATATTTAATATATAAAAATATTAACATTTAATTTATATTTATTATATAAAAATATNGTGTATGCACGCTTCTGCCATTCAATTACGGCGCTCGTCGATGAAAAAAAAAAAAAAAAAAAAAAAAAAAAAAGAAAGAAAGAGGAAGGAACTTATCGATACGAGTATTGAAACCGAAGCAAGCAAGACTGCGCCGCCGTTATACTGCGCGTGACTCATTGAGGTGTTGATAATCCGCGATCGAAATTAGTAAACAAGCGGTCGTTTGTTTCTCTGCCTGATCAGCGAGACTTTTTCCGGTAAAAAGCCAATCTCGCTCTCGTTGCTTCTGCCTACTGTTGACTCCATTGCCTGCCCGTTATTTATTCGTACGTTCCCGCCGATAAAACCTCCGGCTTGCATGTGGTGCTCCACCGCGGAGGAAACGAGCGGTCGCACCGCTCCCGACAAACAGATATCGGATCTTTCGAAGAATAAATTCTCTTCTGGCCAACTGCATAATGCGTTACGTCTCTTCGGGGGCGTTATATAATTGTTATGCGTGTGCGTTTCGTTCTTATCGAATTTGTTGTTGTTTGCCGCTGTAGTCCCCGGTGCCCCTATTATCAATTCAAATTCGGTTTCGAAACAGCTCGCCAACTCTCGCGAGCAACAACGACCGACTGAAATTCCCTTTCTGCTCGACTTTCAGCCACGTCGAAACGATCTTCGCACCACGAACCGAACTTGAAAATTACCTGACCTCGCAGGTGAATTTTGGCTCAGACTGTTGAAGATCCTATCCTTCGATAAGAAGATAAAACTATCCTACTGTATATTATGCGAGCGAAAAAATTCTGTTGCGAGAAGCATCTGGTATCTTCGACGAATTTTCCATGGCCGACGAGCCGCGAAAAGCTTCCCGAAAAAGCTGCTCGCCGCGGCCTGACACGATTTCCTATCGAAAGATAGGCGAAAGATTGTTGACCAGGCTGGAGGATATCTTTCTGTCTACCAGTGATCCTCTCTCTCTCTCTCTCTCTCTCTCTCTTTCACGCGCGCGCGCGAGCGCGTTTATTAATAACCTCTCGCGAGGCTGGCTCGTAAAGAAATCCACCGCCAGCCCCGAGAATAATTACGGGCAATAAAGATTGCCGGTTTCAATTATAACGCGATCGGCTCATTAACGGCTGAGTTTTCAACGTACTCTCCGCCGGCCCTTTCTCTCTCTCTCTCTCTCTCTC